CGCCCCCCTCTCTCTCTCTAGGTCGTACATCAAAGTATATTTTTTAATCTAAATGTAATAAAACTAAAAGAAATAGATTTATAATTGTAATGCATTGCAAAATAAAAAAAATGCAAAAATAAGAATATATAAAATTATATAAATATTGTATCATACAAATATTAGATTGTAAAAATATTTTTTAATTACCGACTGCGGCATGATGCTTGTTTTCCTACTAGATCGCTTGCGTCTTAGTAAATTATTAGAATTGCACCACATAGGATGCAGATTTCTAGTTAAAACGAAAGCAATGCAGCAATTATACAAGGTATTGCATCATCATACAAATCAGTATGACAAGTTGCCCATTTGCAGACGCGCAAGATCGTTCACTTGCGTAGACTTCGGCACACAATCAATGGCACATCTTCTTTTTCAATAAAGTTCGTAGCATATTAAATTGTGATGCAATTGACAATGTAGGTTAAAACAGAAGCTAAGTAACAAGATATTATAAAAACGAATTTTATCGTGAAAACGAAGCATATCTTCCTTTTTATCAGAAAAATCATCATAATCGATCATAATCGATTATAATCATTGTGTAATATAATTTGATTACTTGAATTATTTTTACAGAGAATGATCGAAATTTCATTTATGGATTTATTTATAGCAATAAAAAATCTGTAAGATCTATTGTATAAATTGCTTTATGAAAAATATACAGTTATATGCATATGAATTAAAAGAAAGAAAATAGCAGCTTATAATAGGAATTGCACAAAACGATTTTTGAGATTACCATTTTTGGCATTTTTGAATTGAATTTTCTCAAAAACATGAGACATAATAAAACAATTTAATTTACGGATTTATTTTCAGCTTAAAAAAATTTGTAAGAATTGTTAGTTTGATTTCTGATCTAAAATTCATGTTGAAGAGTATATTATTAATTTAATAATAAAATATTTGAATATTATTAATATTAATATTCCAAAATAAATATCACAAGAGTAGAGGAAACATTAGATAATCAGTACCGAATTGTTGTTAAACAACTTAAAAAGTTTGTCAAAAGTTTCTGATACATTTCACGATGGAGAATATATTAATGAAGATTTGGCAAATATGTTGCTTATTTATAGAGGGCCATAAAAATCAAAGCAAGACGCAGTCCTCTATGCGGAATGTTTTCCAAATAAACGATATCCCAGGTACGGATTTTTTTCAAAATTTATTTATTAAACTTGTCAACATGGATTGACGCTTCAATTCACAGCACGCACAAATAAAGCAGCAACTATTGTAGTAAGGAAAGATATTATTGCTAATCCATATACAAGTAGATATTCTCTACAAGTGGATCATACAAAAATTCAGAATTATTAAGAAAAATGTTAGATGGCATCCATTTGAAAAACATATAACAAAGATTATCTCATCAAGAAGCGATTTTATGATTGGCTTTTAAAGTAAATAAAAATAATAAAGTAAATAAAATAATAAGATGCATTAGTAATTAGTGGTTGCCATTTCCACAATTGAAAAGGGCCTTGATTTTTTTTTAACAATGTAGAACTTAAAAGAGAAATTAAATATTGAGCTTTTTTGGGGCTTTGGAAATCGTTCAAAAATTAAAATATTACAGATATTGCTTCTTCGTGAGACAATGTCCACAAATTTGGAATTCAACACTATTTGTGCCATTTTGATTTCAAAAACGTACAAAATTGTAACAAATCAGGTATATTGATATTGTTAATGATGATTTTTTTTAAAGAGAAGTCTCTGGACAGATAAATACACTTATTGTAGTAATAGATATGCAATAAATTCTATTATACGAAGAAAAATTCTTATTGCATAAAAGAAATGCATCTTTTACAATTTTTCAACAAGATCCTTCCAACAAGAAGCCATCCTTCATTCTCTTCTGGCTCGAACTATCTTAAATCAAAGATCTATCAAAGATTTCCTAATAAATGGACTCTGCAAGAATGATCACGTTCCACCTGACCTATAGATTCTTCCGTGTGGGGCTACATGCGTGATCAAGTTTATGATTCACGCAACAGAAATAATTTGATACAAAAATACAAACAGCAAGTGAAAAAATAACATTTATCGAAGGTACAAGAAAACTTAATGCCGAAAATTGCCTTATGTGCAGAAGAAAATGGAGAACATTTTGAACATATTCTATAAAGGAAAATATAATATGTTACACTTTACATTATATACATTATATACATATATTATACATATATTATACATATATTATACAAATACGTCATAAACTTGATCGTGTAGCCCCACACAAAGAAATCCATAAGCGTTATGTCAAATGAACATGGAGACATTCTTGCAGAATGATATGGATACCTATTCATCTATTAAGAAATTTTCGATTGAAAATAGTTCGAGTTAAAAGAGATGAATGAGCAGGATGGCCATCTTTTTGAAATATTATATCTGGAATTACAGCTAATGGAACATCTTCTAATAAATATAATAGTGAAACTTATTTCATATTTCTACCAGAAATATGAAATAAGTTTCTGCTGTAATATTAATATTTCCCAAAAAGAAAAATGATCTTTCCGCCGTTTTTTTCCGAAATTCGAGGCTTTATTGTAAAAAACTGGTTATACATTTATGATTCAAAGTATTGTCCATCGTTGGCCACTACTTTCTCCCATCTTTCGGGTAGCGTACGAATCCCGCGTCGAAAAAATTGGTCATCTTTTGAGGCTATCCACGAATCGAATTTTTTACTTCTTCATAAGACCGGAAGTGCTGGTCAGCCAGGCCGTGTGCCATTGATCGAAACAAGTGATAATCAGAGGGAGCAACGTCTGGAGAATACGGCGGGTGGGATAGGACTTTCCATTTCAACGTTTCCAAGTATGGCTTGACCACTTTCGCAACATGGGATCGAGCATTGTCATGCTGCAAAATCACTTTATCGGGTCTCTCGTTGTATTGCGGCCGTTTGTCTTTCAAACGCATCAGTTGCGTTCGATACCGATCGCCTGTGATTGTTTCAGTCGGTTTTAACAGTTCATAATGCACTACGCCGAGCTGGTCCCACCAAATACAGAGCATGACCTTGAACGTCAAAATCACCGTTCTTGAAACCACTCACGACACGTTCTTTCACTAATAGCGGCCTCACCATAAGTATTTGAGATGAGCTTCAGCCGCAGATTTCTTCATATTCATTCATTGAAGCAAAAAATTAAAACCTCCCGCAAATGACGAGAATTTGGCTCGTAAACTGTCATTTTCAATCGAGAATAACTTTATGATGCAGACACAAATCGACTAATGTTTCTATGGGGTTATGTTGACAGATGCCCAAGTTTATTGTATGACTTCTATGATCTATTTATTTCGACCACCACTTACTGCTAAAGCCATCTGTAGGAAAACGGCGGAAGCAAAGTTGTACATCTAAATTATCCAAAATTCCCATCCAGATATTAACATGGAATTGCCCCTGAATGTGAGTTTCTTTTCAATGAGGATTTTCTTTCTAATGATGCTCACTATGTCGATTTATGCGTCCCTTGTATGTATCCCTGCGAAAAGTGCACTCATCTGTCCATAAAATTCTCCTTAAAAAATTATCATTAGGAATGTTGTTTATGTCAACCTGGAACAAAGGTAAATGATTGCTATTTTGTAGGTTTTTGAAATAAAAATGGCTCGAATATTAATAAATTGAAAACTTGTGACTATCGTCTCACGATGAATCAACATTCGAACAGTTTCTAAAGTTAAACAAATTTAACTTCTGTTTTTCAATGGCCTGATTTATATCGTGCGCTTAGTCTGCGACTTATACGATAGATGTCTTTGTTTAACCTAAGTTAAGTTCGCGGGCTAAGCGCACGGTAAACGTAGCATAAACAATTATTTGAAAAAAAACTCAATGCTATTCTAGTCATGGTAAAAAATGATAATTATCAATTACTAATATATCTTATGTTTACTTACTCTGAAAGCCAATCACAAAAAGCTTCTCTACGAGGCAAATCTTGGAAAAATAATAAAATAAAATTTTTGTGTTGTATGTTTTTCAAATGCTAGCTAAGATTTTTCTTTATTATTCTGTGAACTTTG